TATTTGTTTTAATTATGTAGGTGGCACGCAGGTATTCCATAATGCACTGCCAACAACGACATTTCTGGCTAACCGCACATGACAAAACTTGTTGGCCATGTTCGTTGTGGCCAAACAGCAACAAAAACAACAACAAAGAGTTGCGAGAGTAATAAACAAAGCCGCAAATGCGTTTTGAGGGCGAACAAGTGACAGCAGCTACATAAAGGAGAGAGAGAGAGAGAGAGGGAGAGGGAGGGGAGATAGCTAGCGAGAGAGGGAGCAAGAGATAAAGCTTCTATAAGTGCATCACTTCAGGACGAACGTAGGGAATGGAGGGAGTGGCTGACAAAGTTTTCGGGTGGGGCATTTGGCACGCTTAATTAAAACGGGGCTCACGTAGACCCGAATCCAACCAAAATGCTGTCACTGTCAGTTTTTGGTCGAGAGCAGCCGCCGCTTGGCTTCCATTTTGAGCCAAAGCTAATTTGGCCACTTTTATTTGGCAGCAGCCGAGAAAGACGCAAAAAGAAAAACGAAATGGAAAAGTGAGGCAAATGTTGCAAGTGTCAAAGTGCATGGGAAATGCATTGCGGCACATTAATTGCATAAATTTCGACGTCACTTTGAACTGAATGCGGCGCAAATTAAAGCGCAAGCGAGAAGGCGCACGAGCCGAATGAGAGGCAAAAGTCATTAAATGTAGCTGCAGCACCTTTATAGCTGCGGCCAGGAGTGGGAGTGGCAGTATAAGTGGGCGTGGTCGTGGGAGTGGACGTCAGTTGGGGTCTGCCTTCTGTCATAATTTGATGCCTAACTGTGTCAGGCGCTGGTCGGCTGCAGTTGCAAGTGCTCATGCATAACGCATTTTGGCTCCGCTAAAAAGTATGCTATGAAAGTGTAACTCAAACCTGTTGCCACACACAGGCACAGGCACACGCACACGCACACGCACACGCTCACGCACACAGATGACTGGTTTTTGGGGCAGCGCTTTAAATCAGTTGCCATTTCATTAAAATGCACACAGGCATCTGGCCTCTGCCTCTGCCTCTGCCTCTGCCTTTGCCTCTGCCCTCTGCCTTTGGTTTCTGCCTTTGGCCTCTGCCTCTGCTCTCTGTCCTCTGTCCTCTGCCACTGCCTCTGCCTCTGCCTCTGCCTTCTCATTCGCTGTTCGCCCACTCTGACAACGCTTTTTACCTTCAGTTTTAACGCTCTATCTTTTTTCTTGTTTCAGCTTAAATTTACCGTTATGAAACAGCTTAATGCCCATCATTTGCAAAAGCTTTGATGCAGTTTTTTATGTCAATTTTTTGCTATGCCCAACTTGAATTAAGTAAATGCACTCTTTAATTAGTCTGGCAATGCCACAAAACAATTTACCGTTATATATATAAATATCATAATCAATCAAAGTGTATTTATAGATAAAGATATAAATATAGATATATTTTTTTAACAAATTGATTCCGGTAAAAGGTTTTTTCAGGCCAGCCATTTTTATTTGCCTTGTTTAACATGTTTTTACGTTTTACGTAAATATTAAATTATTAAATAGGCTTTCATTATATTTGCATGACTTTGATTAAATGAATCAAATTGAATTTATTTATTAAATAAACACATGTTAAATAATCAGAAATAATAATAATATTGGATCAAAGATCACCAATCTTAAGCAAATTGAGGTTAGCACGAAAAGCAATAATATCCCAATTTTCAAAAGGGAAATCTGTCAAATTCGCCGCAGACTCAAAACCAGACAAGTCACAACGAATGTACGAAAATGGTCAACCACAAAGTGCCAATAGCACTGCTTCTCGCTCGCACACACACGTTAGGTGTTTTTGCCGCTACTGTAAAGCTTTTGACTGCCTAGCATAAATAACTGCAAAATGTAACAGAGTCAAAGTCTATGAAAACACTACGAAGTAATGTGACGTCAGACACAAAACAACTTTTGCAACAATGCTGCTGTTGCTGTGGTTGCATTTATTTTGAGTGGATTTATTTATTTGCCTTGCCACATACAACAACAACAGCAGCAACAACAACAATTGGATAAAGTGAAATGAAACAACGCAAATCAACTAAAAAACGCGTTGCAATAAAACGACGAAGAGGAAGAACACACACATAGAGCAAAAAAGTACCCAGCAGCACCCGCACAAGTTTTTATTTTATGCAAATGTAAGGTGTCCCAGGTGGGTAATGCACACGTATGCTAGGACTCTGCAGTGCTGTTGCTGCTGCTGCTTCGTCTTCCTCTTGTGTTGCATTTGGCTGCTTTTTGCTCAACATTCAATAAAAACAACAACAATAACGGTACAGGTGTGCTGCCAGGGGCAGGCGGTGGGGATGGCCCTTGGGTTATGCTGTTGCTCTGTTGTTGTTTGTCTGCACGTCTGTGTCTCTGTTTGGCAAATGCCAACTTTATTAGGAATTTTGCAGCTGTTTGCGAGTGTGTACGTCTGTGTGTGTGCATGCAAGTCAAATATATGAAAGCGGAAATCAAAGCCAGAGCCAAAGCTCATTGGCGCTGCATGTGTGAGTGTGTGTTTTTGCTGAACTTATCCGTACAGTACATTTGCGTGTAATATGCACGGATGAATTTTTTTTTGGTTTTTTGTTGCTTCCGATTTCATTTCTGTTCAATGAAACGCAATGCCGCGTGCAGCTGTGTGTGTGCGTGTGTGTACAGGTGTGGGAGCGACAAAGAGAGGAAGAGAGAAACCGAGAGCATGTCAGAAACTGTGTGAACATTGCGCCTGTGCACTGGCTGTGCAGAGCGTAATTGCTGAGCACAATTTCCCTTTATATTGGCAGCTACAGCAGTTTACAGTGGTGGCACCGGTTAGTGTTAACAGTTAAAATGTAGGCTTAACGATATATTTTTATGGCATTATGAACATTTTTAAGGAGTTTTGTACTTTTTTGTTTGATTTCAGTTTATTTAATTATTTAGTATGTCGTGGCTTATGATATTTTCTATTATAAACAATGAAGTATATATTATAAAAATAATATTATATATCACCATTTGAGCCGCGCTTTTAGCTTAGTAATGTTTTATTTGACCATTAAGCAAACCAAGCACAAAATGAACATTAGAAGAATTAGCACATCATAAGCATAAATTTAACTGTGGCTCATAAAACAGTAAAGCTTCCAACTAATGGCCGGCATTTAAGGCGCAATAAAAGCTCCCAAAGGGGCAACTGCCACGCCCCCCTCTCTCATGTGGGCACCGCCAACCTGTCTAAGACAAAAAGCAAATTGTCGTTTATAATTGACCACAAGTGGGCGCTGTGGGCTTCGTGGGCGCCGTGGGTGCAGGGGGCGTGGCCACGACATCCCGGACAATACGAATTGTAAATGGACAATTATTATTAACTGCAATAAATTTCACGCACGCACAATTTACATACAGAAGCACGCGAGCGTGCAGAGGATTACAGTGTATACAGAGCGAGGGGAGGGGAGGGTGGCGCGGGTGGGTGGTTGCTGTAGTCATGTGGGAGTCGACGACACAATCTACATCACGTACAAATCGTTTAAGTGCAACACATAATTGTTCGAGAACCCCAAAACAGCCATTTTCGGATAGTATAATTGTGCTGAGCGTAGGTGTGTGGGTGTGTGTGTGTGTAGGTGTGTGTCAATAGCAATTATGTGCGCACCGTGGATAAATACACTGAACGGAAATGTGTGTGCTATTCCCAGAATAGCAATAAATTTAATTAAATAAAAAAAAACAAATATTTAAATTTATTGATTTTAATTATGTTTTTTTTCTATTTTTAAATGTTTCAAGTTAGTTCATAGTTTAGTATACATTTCTCATACTCAATATGTAGATATCATAACAAAAACTTATTTTAATATTTTCATATATTTTCCATCAATTTTTCTCAGTGTCGTCAGCCTAAAAGAAATGATTTAAGTTTAAAGTTGAATGAAAATATTAAATATTAAATATAGTAACCCAAAATTTTTATATATATCATATTTTTCAAATTTTGCATGCCCATGAGATTTCATGAAAAAAGTTTCAATTTCTCTGATTTTATTTAGTTTTTAACAATTATTTAGTATATTTAGTCTTTTAAGTCTAAGATCACCTAAGTTTAGTTCATACAGAGAAAACAATTTGTTTTGATTTTTTCTGCCATTATTCTTAAGCCTTGGTGATTTTTTTCAGTGTTGTTAGTTTTGGGTGTTAGATCCAGGTAAGTGTTTCTTTTTTGTGTTTGCGCCTGGACTAAAAGTTTCGGCTTGACAAGCTCCACTTAAGCTGCCACAAACAATGCGCAAAGAATTGAAAAGTAATTTCGACGCACAACTAACGAGAATTTCCCTTCGTTTGAGTCTGTGTGTGTGAAGGCCCACGCTTCAAATTGATGTCAATGTTTATGTTGTTGTTGCTATTGGCGTTGTTGTTACTTAGTTGTGCATTGTCCATTAGCGCGTTGTTTAATTGAATTGTAGCAATTAAAGTGCTTCAATTGATTTTAATCGAAAATTGCGCTCATTGTTGGCAGTTGTTGTTGCTGTTGCCGTTGTTGTCTCTCTGCGCGCCGTTGGTACTGCTAAGTACAGTCGGCATTGCATACCAGTCGGCGCTTTGGCAGTTACCGTTAATTGCATGACAAGTACCGCTTCATTAACGCGGCCCATTCAAATGCCGAAAAGGAAATGTGCAATAATGTGCCCAAAGCTTTGAGGTCAACAGCAGCAACAGCAACAGAAACAGCAACAAGAACAACAACACTGATACGCACATAACTGTAGCCTAAGCTCAACAGGCTGCTTTTTCGTTTTTCTGCTCGCAAACAACAAAAAAAATGAATTTCCCCAACACAGAGCGTAAAAGTACCAACCGGCCGCCACTCTCTCACTCTCTCTTTTTCTCTCTCTCGGGCTCACTCGCTGCATAAATGCTGTTATGCTGCCTCTGTGTGATATTTGGTTGTCGCCGCGACTGCCACAACATGCGCTCAACATTCAGTACGCAACGAACTTTGCAAGCAAACGGTTGTCGATGCTCTCTCGGTAGCCAATACCACGCGTCGTCGCTGCCACGTGAATATCAATAGGGAAAAGGAACCCAAAAATAAGCACGCGCGCGTTACACATATGCGCCTGTATGTGTGTGTGTGAGTGTGACTGTGTCGGTGCCTGTGTGCGTGCATTTATTTTTAAGCAGCGGCTAATGTAAAAGTGTACAACAAAGTAGAAAAAGATATAAAAAGCAATAAATAATCAAAAATCTATAAATAAAACAGGCGGCTGCAGTTGACAAAAAAGCAGAAATACAAGAGATTCGAACCGAGCGAAATGAAAGCGAAATTCAAATTCGAACAGCTGCTGGCAGCGACGCTCTGCTCGCTGCTCGCTCTACCCGCTGTCGCCGTTGCCGTCGCTGCTGCAATCGAAGCGCAACCCGGCAACAGTTATGGCGCCTCCTTCATATCAAATCCGGCTATATATGCCTATACCGTGGCCAATCAGCAGCAGCAACAACAACAAAGACAAAATCCCGACAATCAAAACTTCATAAATTTTGATGCTGGCAATTCGAATGCAAATGTGAATGGCAATTACCGCAATTACTACTATACGGATGCCAATGCCACGCCCACGCTGAATACGCCTGCAGCAAGTGCAGCCACGGCCGCAGCCACACAGCCAGCCCCACTAACGGGCTGCACTCTGGACCGTCTGGCCGTCTATAAGGTCGTCCTGCACACCTATTGGACTCGTGAACTCTTCCCCAAACACTATCCCGACTGGCGACCCACTGCCCAATGGACCAAGACCCTAGGTAAGTGCACCCAATACTTGTGTTTTCATTTCTCCATGTGCACACTTTTTGCTTTGATAAGAAGTTCGTCATAGAAGATAACACAGGCACACCTGAAATAACAGACAACAATTTAATGATTATTAAGTTTGTGCTGAAACTATACTCGGAATAGTTTTGCAGATATATTTTTAGCTGTCAATGCACTGCAAAATCTGTGAAAAGTGTATATTGTTTTCCACATCATATTCTAAAAGCATTTATAATGTTTCCATTGATGAAAAGTAGGACTTAGTGAGATAATATATATTTATTTTGTATACAAATTTATTTGTCGACAAGTTCAAGAAATTACACAAATTAATATGATTTTTACCATAGTAAAGTACTTAGTATATCTATATATTTAGTATATATATTATAGGATCTATAAAAAATTAACTCATATATTTAAACTTTAATTTTAATAAAACTTTTATTAAGTGGGTAAATAAAAACGGTTCCAAGTTGTTTCAATTTGTCATGGGATTACAAAGACTTAAACTTTCAAAAAAACATGTATTGAAATGGATCATAAGTATAGCACTAAAAAAATAAAAGTAATTTTTTATTATTCACAATTTCAATAAGATATAATATTTTATATTTTTATTTATGTTTTAGTCAAATGAATTAGTATTTTAAATACTTTTTTACTTGAGCTATATTAAAGCATATTTCTAATAAAAATCATTTATATTTGCACAGCTAAAGATTGAAATTGTTTTTAGCCTTATTTTGTAATGTTCTTATCATAATTTCGAGATAAATTTTTAATATTTAAATAGTGTTTTTAAATGTTAGCATACATGATTATTTTTTAGTAAAACTTTTTATTTACACTATTTAATAATTGGCTAATCATTGAAAGTAAGTTAAATACCATTTCCAATTTTTGCTCTCTCTTCAAGCCAAGCAGTTTAATCAGCACAATTGAAAGGCTTCGTTTGACTAAACGTCCAACTGTTTGCTCTGTAGTTTGGGAGGCTGATCAAAAGCTTATACAAATTTGCACAGCTCAACAAAAACTGAACAACAACAACAACAATAAATAATAACAATGTAGGAAGAAAAAAAAGTTAAGACTAATTTGTCACAATGCTCGCAACTTGGCAGACGTATAAAAATAAATCGAAAAGCAATTTCGCAGCCCAAGACATTTGGTTGAATTTGTTGTTGCTGCTGTTGTTGTTTATATTGTTGTTGGGTTAAGTAGCTAGATATAGAGGCCTGGCCCAAATAGATGAGATACAGATATAAACACAGATAGCAAATACGTTGGGGCAGGGTTGCGAAGGGAGTCCTTGGCCGCATTGGCATGTCGCTTGTCTTATCATGTTTTTGCAGATTTAGCTGTCAATTTATAGCACACACACACAGAGCGCAGTAGAGCGAGAGCGAGATAGAGGGAGAGAGTGTGTGGGTGGAAGAGAGATGCATAGCGTCGGGCAGAGAGCGAAGGGAAAGGCAATGCGAGAGTAGACAAGTAAATCTGACAGCCAAACAAGCGTTGCCTTTTGCCGTAGCATACTTTCAGGCACACACACACACACATGCGCACAGCCATAAAAAAGGATAAGACTAGCGCCTAAGAAATGCGATTTGTACGTGCTTAGGCGCTATACGCCTCGCCTCGGCGCTGAACAAAAAAGGAAAGTGGAACAAGAAATAAAATAATAGATTCACCGAAGTGCGTCTACCCTACCTTCTTTTAGATAGAAACATATCTTTATATAATATTTTAATTGTTTCGAAACTAGCTAGATTCAGATTTTCGTGGAAATATTTTAGAGTATATCCAAAAATATTTAGGTGGTAAAATTTGATAGATCGATGTCTTAGCTCTCTTAGCTCAGCAGGATATGTATTTAACTTTGTACTTTTTTACAGTCTTAATTATGATTATTAATTATCATCAAAATAACAAAGTACAAAACATGAGCATGTTATCCGCATAGATATTTCAAGTAATTCTCAGGTTATATTATTGTTTGTCGAGTAGAAGATATCTACTCTTCATTTGCAAAGATTTATTCACTTAAACTAGAGTCATATGCCTACTTCTCCACAAACTAGTTTCTTTTTATATAGTTTAGATTTTTATATATACAGTTCCGGAAAATAATTCTACTGTTGAAGCTTTCCGCATTGAAAGTTTAGTTACATGTTTAAAAGACTTTTCTATCAATATAAATTTAGTAAACAAATTTGTTAATTTTCTATGTAGTAAAATATTAAATAATATGTGAGTCCCAATATATTTGGCTTGATACTGACCTTCATTGAAAGAGTTAAGATAAATAAATTTGATTATGAAATGTGGTTTACGTATTCATAATTTTTCTTTTCTTATCTTATGTATGTGTGTATATATACATAGCCTATTATACATTATATTATGTTATATTATATATACTAAACACTCAAGCGTTACACAATCTCTCACAGAACATAGAATACCCTATAAAATGCGCTCAAGCACGACAAGAAATTGGATAAAGTTGTTGCCCAACAGCTACTCTTGTGCTGCTTCTTTTCAATTATTGTTGTTCTTGTTGTTGTTGCTATTCTTCTGCTTCTTTTTCCTCATCTTGTCGAGGCTCTGTTTTGATGTTTTGATTTTTGTGCTGTTGCACTTAAGTTGCGTTTTTTAGAGACTTTTACTTAGCCGTCGTCGGAGCCTTTTGCTTATTTATGATTTTGTTTGCCAGATTATAATCCGAGCATTACAAACGGTAAACAAGGCATCAAGAACTAGCCAAACTATATGTAAAATATGGGAAAAGTTACACTAGAAACTCTGTCAAGTTTATTTAAGTAAAAGTATTCTTAGAACTACTTTAAAGTCGCTTCTAATTAAATGCAGCAATGCTGAGTGCCTCACTCTCTCTCTCTGTCTCCCTCTCGCTTAACCATTTGTGGTTTATTTTCAGCTTTAGAGTTCTCTCTCTCCTACGCTCTCCGCTCTCCACTCTCCTCTGTCATTTTGTCTGTGTTGTTTATTGTGTCGACGCGGTAATTTATAGTATTCACCAATTGGAAAACATTGCGTATGCGTGATTTATATGCAATTCGTGCTAGTTGTATGTCCACAGAACTCTCCACTGGCTGTAACTAACCGATATAATGCGTATAATGCGCTTCTTATGCTTAAAATATTGACTTGACAATTTCGAGCATTGCGAGCGATAAATTTTTGTTGCCGTCTGTGGAAAAGTTTTCTCACTTTTATCCCTGTTTTTTTTCCATGTGAATTGCAAATAAATAAAAAATTTTACACCCACTCATTCTTTTATTTGCGCCTAGCTATATATGTACTGCTTTTATTTTGGGTTTATTTATTCGAAATTTATTTGGCTTTAAAAAGAATCGCTAATAAAGTTATCCTGGCTGATATAAAAAATTTAACGGCAATGCTCTAAAAACTACTATATATATCAACTGCTAAAAATCGTTCGATATCGAAGAAAAAGCATGTCCATGTTGACATTGCTCACTCGTAATCGATGGCAGAAAACTCAGTTACGATTCAAAAAGAATTAAATGTGTCTAAAGATCAATATTTTTGAATCTTCGACGCACCAATTTGGTAATCAATCTATAAATTTATGTGGTTTCAGCTGATAATTGTAGAAAGAATATCAAAAAGCAAGTAATGACGGCAAAAGTATGGCATCTAGATACTTATATTTTCACAAGCATAAGCATGTGAAATACTTTATTTTATTAAATTTTGGGAAAGTGGAGATTCAAAATCAAAAGTATAAAAAATTTGTGTATTCATTGAAGTCTTTGTAATCATTAACGTTAATTTGATGTCTTCCAGCCATGCTTAAGAAACGAAGTCAAAATATCGATTTTTATCAATAATTGATCAACTCGTTATGCGTGTGGTATACACGAGTCTACAATTCAAATTTCAAGTCTACTGCTTTAGTGGCGTACGAGATCACTGCGCTTATCCTGACGGATGCATCCGATCGATGGGCTTAGCTCAATGCCCATTTTCAGTGGGTTCAGGGTATAAAAAGTAGAATTTAAAATAAATAGTTTTTCCCGATTTATCACATTAATTATTAGTCAATCCTCAAAAGGAATCCACAATATAGTAATGGTCGACACGGGCTGCTAGTCTAACTTTCTAGAATTAAAATACATATATAATTGCAAATATAATTAATTAATTATAAATATATTGTTGAAGATCCAATTTTAACCTGTTTGCCACACTCTCAATGGGCGTTGATGTCACTGTGTATGTAAATACATATATTTATTAGTCTAAGGTTCTCCACGCTAAAAATAAATCCAAAATATTAAGCCTCTATATGTGTAAAATGTGCAAATTGAAAAGTGTTACAAAACTGAATAGTTTGGAATAGGTTATATAGCAAATCGAACTTATTAATGCCAATGGAAATACGAATATGAAATGAAAGTAAATAGTGAGGACGCTCTTTGTATAGAGAGCTCTTTTCTTGTGAACTTGTGGATAAGCAAAGAAAATACTATTTCAAGTAAACGAGGAAAGCTATTTGTACATTGGTATAATATAAAGTGAGCATGGAGCACATGGGGACATGTGAAGTGCAGGACAAACAGCAGGATGCCGTAAAGCGTGCTTAAAGAGCCAAGCTGCAGAAGGAAAAGGAAAACTTCAAAGAAAATAAACAATAATAGTTATGCTGCTTGATGTGTCGCAGCAGTTGCAAGCTCAACTGAGCATCCTGAAGTGTTGTCCCAGGACTCTCGTTTACTTTTAAAGCGCATATTTGTCAATAAATATGCGTAGTTGTGCATGCAGTGCATCAAATATTTAGAGGAATTGTTCTTGTTGCTGCACAGGCTCTGAGGCGACATTTAGCAAAAGCCAAAGGCAACTTAGGAAGCTCAAGCAAAAACCCGTTGAATTAGTAGGAGCTGCACTTGGAATAGCTGGCAGACAGCTTCCTGCCTGTCATATCCTGTTTATAAATATATAT